TTAATTAGAACATAGTTTAAATTAATTATTAACATAATATTAATATTGGGATGGCTATTAAAGGGCTTTTTTCTCCTTAAAACTAGAAAAACAAAATTTGATGAAAAAATTTTTGACTTCTCTTTTTGGCAGACCAAATAACTGAAAGGCTCCTGTAAAACACTGGGTGAAATAGTGAGCTCCCTTGTAAATCACCATTTTCCTGAGCCCAAGCAAGCTCAGGGAAGCATGCATGAAAACAGCCCTGGAGCAGGGATGGGTGAGGGTGGGAGGGGCTGATGGCTAGGGCTGGCTTTCGCACCCCTGTGGGGTCGGGGCTTCTCCATGGAGCCAGGATGCTCAAGGGTGCGTCAGTGCCAAAGCCGACCAGGGAAGATAGACAGTAAAGCCCCTAAAAGCAGTTTCTCCCAGGTCGCAGGCCCCCTGAATCGGGGAAGCCCCCACTCAAGAACTCACAGCTGGGAGCCTGCACTTCACTTGGGTCTAACCCCCTCTTCAGCCTAGCAGCTCTCACTGAAGCCCTTTGACAGAAGCAACCCCAGGAATATTTCTGGGGACTCCCCCCAGCCTTGCAGAAAGAATGGAGTGCAGTGCCACGTCCTAAAGGCCCTGAGAGCCCTGTGTCCTGGGAGGACAGAGCTCTGGATCAGCTCCGACTCGGACTCCGTTAAATACACACGAAGGACAGAACCAGAGTCACAACTGCCAAACCAACAGGGGAGGGAACAGAAAAGCGCTGCAGTCTCGTGGGGGCAGAGGGCGGGAGAGAAACCCCAGAGGACGGATGTGTGCACAGTGTGGCCGCACATGCAAACACAGCACCTAGCAGAGCGCCAGCGAGTGCGTTCAAAAGCAGGCCAGCGGCTGTGAGAAGGCGGAACGCTTGAAGGAACGGGGTGGCCCCGGGCCCGGGAACACGGTGAGGCCGCGGTAGTAGCCGACAACACGGGCTTTCTGTCAAAGGCACTGTCCGTTTTTTCTGAAGGCGCGAAATGCATGGGCCATAAAGAAAAAGACTGCAGTGCTGAAATGTTAAACTCTCGCGCATTTTATAAAATCTTCACGTGAAAAGACAAGCCACAGACAGAAAATCTGTAACTGAGGAGATGCTGCTCTCCTGATAAAAAGAACGTGGACAAGTCAACCAGGTGGGCCGACAAGTGCGAGAGACCAGAACGGGGGCAAGTGGGACTCCAGGCGGGGGGCTCCCTGCATCCCCAGGAAGGCCGTGGGGGCCCCTGCTGACCTGCAGCCCATACGCCCCTCAGACTGAGCCCAGGGCTGTTTCCACACGGAGCCCGCCTCTAACCCCTCTCAGGCAGGTCTGTGACCTGCAGGCCCTCCAGGACCTCAACCCCACCCTCTCCTTGTCCTCTGGCTCCGGCCCACGGGCCAGCTGCAGCCCTGCAGGCTGCTGTTCTGTGACGCTCAGGGCGGCCTTGTCCCCAGACTTCCACCCGACTATGCTCCCCCGCTCGGTCTGTGTCGCATCTGCCCCTTCCTGTGCGTTGCAGAGCGGGGTGGCTCTGGGCTCACGTGTCCCTGTGCACATGCACCATTGAGCTCTGTCTCCTTACTGTGTCCTTAGCACTGTCACAGCCCTGGCACTCAGCACGAGCTCAACAACACTGCTGATGGACGACAGAAAGAAGGACACACACATAAGACAACTCGTGACCATCTCACCCCCAGGTGGACAAGACCCAGGGGCCTGACCGTACCGAGTGCTGGAGGGTGTGAGACCCGGTGGGGGCTGGTGGACTGCTGCTGTGGCCCGGGTGTCCCTCAGATTTCATGTGCTGAACCTTCCTGCTAGGCCGTGAGAATGGGATCAGCGCCCTGAAAACAAGAGACTCCACAGCTCCCTCACCCGCTTACCCATGTGAGCTCACATCGAGGAATTCACCACCCTCCACCGGGCCACACTGGCCACCTGATCCCATAGCTGCACACACACACGTGCACACAACATACACGGCTCACGCGCATGCACACGGACACACGTGCGCGTGCACACACACGCAGCACACATGCGCACGCTTAGTCACGGGGACCAGGTATTCGTTCCCTACAGGACAGGACAAGTCTGGGATATCCTAATGGCGCCTGGGAGGATCGCCTAACCCTCAGTGATGGGGAGAAGAAGGACTGGCACGTGGAGGAGGAAGTGGCCTCCGCCGTCGTCCTCGAAACTGTTGGTGCCAGCCTGTTTATTTTTGCCTTCTATCCAGAAGTAAAGGATTGTCTCAATGTAAATTAACCAACACACACTAAAGGAAATACAGTTGCTTCATTTGGAAAATCAAGTAGACATTTCTGTTTATGGTAAACATGATTTATTTTATATCAATATTGCATATTTAATACATACCTCAGTATCAGAAATATATTTGAAGGCTCTTTCCAAAGGCAAGTATTAAAACAGTGTTAAAAGTTTCATTAAAACATATCCACTTTTTAAAAAAATTCAACAGGTCAGTCTGATATCGGAAACTTTTTTCCTCTAGTAGAAGCTGTAAAAGTATAAACCGTAACTTGTGTTCATGTCCTCCTGTCCATCCATGCCCACACTACGTTTGATTTTAATACTTTTTAGCATATAAGCAAAAGCTACGAGACAACAGAAAAACGTAAGCCTAGCATTAGTACCGATAATGACATTTTAGAGCGAAAGTGACCACTTTGCAGCTTCTACATTCCATCATTTTCCCACAGAACCCTTTTCAGGAGGGGCACGTGCTGACTCAAGGACATTTTGGGGTGCTGACCCAGAGTGTTCAAGGGGCCCAGGGGGATGGTGGGCATCTCCAGAACACAAGACCCCAGAGCTGACTTCCAGGTGTCGAATTCTCCGTTAGCACAGCAGGATCCATCTGCCTGCTGACCGCAGGGGAGAGGATGAGGCCCACGCATCCGACTGCCTGCGGGGAGGGGCGCCCGGGGACCAGGGGCCTCGAGGGCAGCCGGTGACTGTGGGCGTCAAGAGACTTCTCCCTGGGGCTCTCATCTGGAGCTCATCTGTGGTCACGCGTGGCCTGGCTACGGTGTGCAAACTCGCAATGGCGTCTGAATCTCACCTTTTCAGTCCTGTGTTTTCTGGGTCGCACGTTACACGTGTGCAATTCTCCCCATCTGCTGTATCCTGAGGTGGGGAAGGCAGGCATCCCTCTTGGGGGAGACCCCGTGCATCTCAGGACACAGTTCTGCAGCCAGCCGGGGCCCGCTGGGTGGCTCTTCCACGGAGGAAGGGTGAGGCTCACTGCCCTCACAGATGGGGAGCCCAGGGAGGTGCATGGTCCCCTGCGAGACAGGGCCAGGGCTTAAGTGCCGGCTTTGACTAGGAAGGAAGGAAGAGGAGTCTGGGATTCTGCCCTGTGTCTCGGAGAGCTGGGGTAGCTGTGCTCAGCCTAAGAACTGCGTGAGGCGGGTCCGGGCCAGCTGGAGGTCGCCGGCAGGTGTCCCTCATGACAGGTGGGGGAGACTCTGGTGGGGATAGTGGGGATAGTACAGCACCAATGTCACCTTTGGCGAGGCCTCAGGGAGGTGAGGCTGCTGGGCTGGCCCTGGGGGGCCACACGCTGACCACTCCCAACCCTGGGCTCCAGAGGGTGACCGTCTCTGCCAGTGCCAGGAGGATGCCTTCAGCTCCTGCCATCCCATAAGGGGGACCCTTCCGCAAACCTGGCAACCTGTTCAGGGGCACCCTGGGTGGTGCCCAAGTGTCCACAAGACCTGGTCCTCCCAGCTGAGCCCCGAGTTCTGACAAGGGGACCGTGCATGAGCTCAGTTGTGGACTGAGAGCCAAAGCCATGGATGCTGGAGCAAAAGGCCCCCCGCGGAGAGCAGAAGTACCAATGGTGGAGAGGCAAGTCCTTCCCCGGGGACTCCTGCCGTCTCCCGAGACTCCTGGCAGAAGGCGACCTTAGGGACAGATGCCCTTGTCCCTGAGGGGCAGGAGTGTGTCCACCATGGCGCAGGCGGGCTTGGCGGTGGGCTGCACGCAGGATAGGACAGCCGGTGCCAACAGCCCTGCTGGGGACAAGGGGCCGTTGCTGGTGCTGATCATGGGAGACGCCACTTTCTGAGTCAGCCTTTGCATCAGGTCTCTTGTGGTCAGAGCATATGACCTTCACGGTTTTTCTAGAAAACATCCCCATCCATCTTATCTCTAGTGAGTCTTCCTTAGGTGGCGATTGGAACTCTCGTTTGAAAACTGATACACAACCTCCACGAACAACTTGACTTCTGCCTCTTTTCTCTACACTTTGTCCTTCTCTCTGCTTCCAAACCCGGACTCTGCAAACTTGAGCTTCGCCACGTACCAGACACGGAGTAGCACGACCACCTATGAGGCCCCTGATGATGCTGGACAGACTTACGGGAGGAGCGGGACATTGCCCTGCCCGTCTCCACTCTGGGGGAGGCCTCAGACTCGGCTGTGGGGCCAGGGGGAGCAGGCTGCACATAGCACAGAGGGCGGGACCCAGCGCAAACACGCTCTTTCGCCTGGAACCTTCCAGATTCCTACCATGAATGGCGGCACGGTCACCTGTGGCTCGAGAGAATTACATCCGTCACTCACACCGAAGGTCACGGCCACCCTCTGCCGTGCCCCGCACAGAGGGGGTGGCCCACCGTGGCAGCGCAGGTGAGCTGGGAAGCGGGCGTGGGGAGCACTGGAAGCTACTGCGTGATGCCGCTCGGCCAGGAGCCCACTGCCCCCCAGAGAGCGGCAGATGCCCTCCGGGCCGACTTGTCTCCCTTGGGCCCCTTTGTGAAAACCTTAATCCTTGAAAGAGAAATACTGTCCTACTTGAACAGACTTCAGAACTTTGCATTTAAGAACCTGTGTGGCGTTTTACCAAAAACAGACTATGCCGTCACACACGCTGCCCACACCTAACAGAGGACTGAACTGGGCAGCCTCGCAGAGTGTCCCTTCAGAAAGGCTCGGATCCTGTGCGCACCGCCCCAGCTGAGGGGCGGGTCTGAGTGTGGACAGAGGCCGGCTTTGGGAGCAGCCCACTCTACGGCAGGAAAACACCCTCGGGGGCCTTGGGAGGCATCAGCGTTGCCACAGCGCTTTTGGGGAACATTCCAGGCACCCCGCCCTGGCTGTGACTGGCCCATGGTGGTGAGTCCAGGGGTTCTCGTTTGACGATGGGCACGGTTCCCGCCGCTCTGCAGTCACAGCCCAGTGCAGGGGCCTGGTGTCCCTGTGCATAGAAGTGGGGGGGAGGATCTGGCTCAGGAAGGCTGTGCGCGTGCCCCAGGCAGGAGCAGTGTGTGGGGCGGGAGGGGACCAGCTCCCGCCCAGCTCTGAGGGGACCCCTGCCGCTCAGGGGAGCCTCCAGCAAGCTGCGCCCCAGGTGCGGAGCGTACAGGTGGGGCCTGGCTTCCAGCTCTGTTTTCAGGTGCATCCTGGTAGGGAAAGTGACCGTCTGTCTCTTGGCCATGCCACTGGCTCCCAGCCACACCTGGCTTGGGGACATGGAGTAGCCGTCTGCTGCGTCCTCAGACCCAGAGTCACTCTCCATTTTGATGGGCACATCAAGCGACAAGATGGGGTTGCACGAGGCTCCCGAGGGTACAGGCCCACCTCGAAGCTTGGTGTCCTCAATGGAATAGCCTGCCACTGTGAGACGCTGCCCTCTGGGCTGAGGGAGCCCACTGTCCAGGCTCCCCTGGGGGAAGGGGCAGCTGGGCGGAGGGCGCACCTGGCCCTGATCGCCGTCCTGCAGAGCTCTGCTGGTGCAGCTGACGTAGGCACTGGGAGAATGGCCTCCTGGGTGGCAGCTGGGTGAATTTCTAAAAGCAGTCACGCCGCTGGCGTGGATGGGGCCCTGAACGCCTGGGCAGGGCACACAGGAGCCTCTGGACGTGGCGTGCCCAGAGAACGGGACACTCTCGCTGGGCCCTGGCTTCAGCTTGGTGCCCCCGTCCTGGCCGTGCTTCCCTGGCATCCAGCTCAGAGGCTTCACGGGTCCAGGCGCCTCGAAGCAGCAGCTGTAGGCGTGCATTTCCCTCCGTCCCTTGGCTCCTGAGCAGCCACTGGGCACCCTCCCGTGCTCGTCTCCTCCCCTGTCCCTGAAGAGAGGAGATGGCCCATCAGACAGAGCGGGGAGAGCCATCATCTGACCCCCTTGGGTGGGGTCTCTAAGGGAAAGCACTGAATTTGTTGATACCGGCTGGGCCTGCAAGGGCTACGCGCCCCCACCGTTATACCCGCTACACCTGCGGTCCAGGACCACCAGTGGCCCTAGGACCTTGGTGCCAGCACCCTCCTCTCCTGTGACGACCCTTCCACGGCCGGCTGGCTGGACACCCACGCAGGGCTCTGCGAGCCCAGGCATGACGTGCGGATGCAGGGAGCGGCGTGTGCCTCCCACGCATCCCCAGGGAAGCATCTCCAGGAGGCCCACACCATGGGTCAAGGGTCAGACACACGCCCAGATGCAGATGCAGACGCCCTCTCCCCGCAGCTTCCATGAGCCGGGCCCTGTTGCTGGCATGCACGCTGCGGCTCCGCAGCACCTGAGTGGCCAGGAGGATGGGGTGCAGCCCTGCCGCACAGCCAGGGCAGTCCTCCAAGCAAGAGGAGCCCTCCTGGTGGCGTGGCGGCAGGGGCCTGTGGGAAGAGGAAGTGGAGGGGGTTTCTGAGTGCAGGTGAGGGCAGAGGACAGGGTGGCCACCCAGGGTCCAGGCTTCAGGCGAGGGTCCCAGCAGCCTTGGCCACACCTCAGATGTGGAAGGACAACTCCTGGGGTGGGAAGCATGTCAGGGTGTTCTCCAGGTGTACCTGCGTGTTACCCTAAAAGCGAGGCTCACCTATCACGGTCAAGGCCACCAGACCGGCAGCCAGTGTCTCTTCTCCTCCTTAAGGCCCAGGTGGGCCTCAGCACCACTTACCCTGCAGCCCCCTCGGGGTCAGAAACGAGGTCGGGGCCACTTCTGAGGCACAGGCATGGTGCCCTGGCTGGAACCCGGGCCCAGCGTCCCGCGTCCGCTTGTGTCCTGAGCACTGGAATGTTTTCTCCATTGCTTCTCCCTGTCAGGATTCAGAGAGGGTGCTCAGCACGGATGCCCTCCAGCCTGGGTTTTGGAGCAAGGCAGCACAGCACTGGGGCAGGGAGAGCCTCCAGAGGGGCACAGACACATTTCAGCCTTTTAAAACACATGAGACGGTGAATCTGGAGAAGTACCTGTGAAGTGGCTGGGCTGCCCGTGGAGTTCTAGCTCACACCGATGTGCGGCCGCTCTCGCCCTGTGGAGCACAGATAATAGGAGAATACACGTGGGTCAGTTTGTGCGGCTGCGGGGACGGGCGCCGTGCTGGTGTCGCGGCTGTGTCTAGGAGACTAGATGCTCTCTAATTTCTTCTGTCTTTCCTCAGCTGCAGGTCTGCTGAAAACTCCAATTCACATAATTTCTCAAGCCAAAATGGGCTAATGAATTTGTTTCGAAAGCAGACACACACATACAACGTGCTTTTGTGTTTTTCTGGATGACCACAATGAATACACAGTCAATTTTTATGATTTCCAGTAGTGACATTCCATAAACTCACCAAGAACACTAAGTCAGTGAATAGTAAACCATCCTTCATAGGGCAGCGCGTATACACACACACAGAAATCACGGAGCTCATGATATTAAGTTCTAAGCAATCTCATCCTCATAGATGCTATTTCATTATTTTCAGAAGAAAAAAACAAGGCTTAAGTGACTGCCTTTATGCCACCTCTCCAGCAGATGTCAGTGCTGAGACAAATCCAGGCCAAAAGACCTCAGAGTCAGAGCTCCCCACAGTGCATGCTGCTCCCTACCCATCCTCTGGTCATATCTGTAAAGACCAGAGATGGGGGAGCACAGACTTGGGGTGGAGCAAGGACGGGGAGCAGGGATGGAGAGCAGGGACAGGGGAGCAGGGATGGGGGACCAGGGATGGAGAGCAGGGATGGGGGAGCAGGGACAGGGGAGCAGGGATGGGGGAGCAGGAATAGGGGAGCAGGGATGGAGAGCAGGGACAGGGGAGCAGGGCTGGGAGAGCAGGGACAGGGGAGCAGGGATGGAGAGCAGGGCTGGGAGAGCAGGGACAGGGGAGCAGG